CAAGATACAATGAAAATTAAATACAATAATTTTTGTAATAAACATATTAATAAAACCCATAATGCAAAAAAATTTAACTCCTAAACATCAGCTTCCATATCCATTCTACAGTACTGCTTTGCCTCTTTCTTTCTACAGAAAATCCGCTAAGGAGCTACACAATTCTTTCTAGTGGTGGTTTTCTATGCTGTCCTTCTGCTAGTAGTATATATCCCTTTAGAATAATTACTGAGCTTCTGAATTAAAAAAAAAAAAAAAATTCCCAGCAGTTGTGCTAGGAAACGTATTTACCTCTTTCTACCATTCCCTCACTATTTTCTTTACCAAAATCCTACACTCTCCAGAGGGAAAAGTGATTAACTATATTTCTCCCTAAGGGCAAGCCTTAATTAGTGGAAAGGATTTTGATCAGGAAAACTTTATGAAGGAAAATCATTAAACTTTCCAGCCATCAGTACTGCATTGTTTCTATGAGGAAACTGGAATCCCCTTGAGCCTGTACTTCAAAAAGGTGGAGGAGATGTGGCAAGCAATTGTTCTACCCTTTTTTTCAAAAAATCCACTGAGGAGGAAAAGATGGAATAACTGCAAAGTGTATTTTGATTGGTAGTACTAGGAGCCATCTGTTTGAAAACATTATTGTGTACTCTTTCTTACTTATGTTTTAACACACACCCTCTTCCTGTTTAGGTCCATGTGGTGGAATCCTGAACTGCCGTCTGTGACTTCAATGCTACGTCGAAGTCTGTCCTTGAAATCTCAGAATATATTAGGCAACAGACCTATGTGGCACTTGGGCCAAAGCAGGTCACAGGTTCTTCCTCACCGAGAATTCATATGGAAGCCTTTCCAAATTGACCACATACTTCTGAAGACAGAGAAGGAATACTGTGCCAAAGCCAAGGGAGTACAGAAAGCAACTGGTCAAAAACATTCATCACAAAATAGAAGAGAAGTTATTCCAAATATCAAGTTTGCGTGCAAGGAATGTGTCTCCTCCCATGAAACCATGAACTTTGAATAACCTACACTGAGTTAACAACTGGTCAATAGGAAAGCAGGCACTCTCCTGTTCTGACCATTTGTTACAAGACTTTAATGCAAAGACTGCTGCACATCTTTGGTGAATGAGAACTTGATTAAGAAGACAGTAAATTATCTTATTTTCACAGATTAATAGCAAACTGTTCTGAAGGGCAGAGGTTTTCTTTGTTCATTAATATCTTAAGATAGCTTAACACAGGCTGCATACAGATTTCCCACCTATTTGTTTTCCTGATAAGAAATATAGAGAGCTATGTGTGGAGGGAGATCTGTGAGGCAAAGGAGAATTGCCAGTGGGAAGCCTAATGAACCTACTAGAAGTTTCTGCCTTTTTCATGCCCTCTTGATTATTTTTAATAATTTGCTCCCCAGTGAGATGCAAAATCAGCTCAAGGGAAAATCGATGCATGGATTTAGAACAAATTCAGTGAACACAGGAAGAGTTAAGTGCTCTTCCTTCTTCTTGATTCTCCTTGCAAGTATCTCTTCCACTACTGAACTCATGTTACCTCAGCAAATGTTGGTTTAGGAGACTTCCTCACCTGCAGCAGAATGTCACTCAACTCTTTTCTAGTAGAAAAAAGATTATGCCTATCTAATGTATACACAAGGTTTTCCTTTTACGATGAAGGACTGTAATTTTATGGAATGAATTTATTGTTATAAGAGCACACCTGTTTACTGGTACAAAGTAGAGAGAGAAAAAAGCAAGCAGAACTGTTACTGCATTTTTATCCTTTGGGTCACCTTATCACTCTCCCATTCTTAGGATAATTCTGACCAGACTTGGGGTCTCTTATTACTCTTAGCTCATAATAAAAAAATAAAACTTGTGTGTACATTAGAGTACATAAATGTGTGCTGAGGATGCAGGTTTAAAAAAAAACCTGTAAAGATCAAAATAATGTTTATGTTCTAAAAGTCAGGCAAAACTAAATAGTTATCAGTTAAAGTATATTTACTAGACATACAATAATTTTAACCCATAACTAACTATTTGGTGGAATATCTACTGATGAAGCCATGTATCAGAACTTTTATCATTTGGTAATGGATTTGGTATAAAATTAATGAAGTTTGTATGTAACTTACAAAGGCGGACAGATTTTCAACCTTGTTCACATTGGGTTTTGTTCTGTTACTAAGAAACTATACAACTTAATTGACAAATTAGAAGTATTGAAAAGTACATGAATGTATGAATGTATCAGAAGTATTGTATTACTTTGTATCTTTCACATTACTGATTAAGGAAGTTTAGATAATAAGCCTGGACTAACAGTCATTTTATATGTTTCACTGAAAAACAATGTAATGGCAACCAAAAGACATGAAAGATTTATGGGCCAAATTTAAGTAAATTCACACAAAGAACCTAAGCACCTGATTAAATTTGGCTTCCTTGAGTATTTTTTTCTGTTGACAAAATGGCTATTTTTAGAAATGTTTTCTAGGATTTTTTCAAAAACAAAGTTTTTAATCATATCTTAATTAAAAACCAATTTATTTTCTAAAAAAGACTGGTTATGCTCAGTCTTTAATGGTAAATAGCACTAAAATTATAGATTTCACCATTTTAATAAGGAAAAACGCTTATTTGAATTTGAAATGTATTAATGAACAAAATATGCATAAATTATAGAAATCCTGTGTCTCTCACTTTCACATGGGCTGAGCAGAATTAAAGATCCTGCTTCTGCACTGCACTGCATCAAAGCAGCCACTTCATTGGTCTTGGTGGAAATGCAAGAAGACATTTCTATCAAAACGAAGTGGCTTGGCAAAGTGAACAGTCCTCCCTGACACTAACTGGAGATGTCAGAGCAGAGTCCCTTACTTTTCCAGGTTGTAGCACTGCTTTGTTCCAGTGATGAGAGTCAAGGCAGCTCTGCAAAGCAGCATGGGTTGTGGAGGGCTAGAATGCAGTGACTGTTTTTGTTCTCATGAACTTAAAATTGATAAAACTCATTGTGAGTCCCTTGAATGTATCTTGCTATTTTATGAATGTTTACTCAATTGTTTGTTCAAATCAGTGTGTATCTTCCTCCCAGTGCTAGTCAGTATGCATTCATTGTCCTTAGTGAAAAGCAGCTCTCCTGACTTCTTTTGGTGCACATTTTAGAGCATTCCTCCCCACTTCCATTTTTAGTACTGTACTTGGATCCTGGGATGCACGTTTCATTCAGTACTTCCTCTATGTGATGTATACCCCCTATTAATTAATAAAATCCAGGAAACTGTATTATTAGGCACTTTCCTGATTTTTTTTAAAAATGGAGACTATTCATTGTTGTAAAATAAAATCTTTGCATTCTCACATGGTATGTAACTTGTGTAATCATTTGTTGTAGTTCCAGATGTCCTCATTTATAGATTGTGAAAAAATTCATCCATTCTACATTCTATACATTGAGCCTGCCTCTTTTTATTAGCGTGCTTATGGAAAAGAGAGCCCTATAATATCAGATATGAATGCAAATAAGTTTTTAACTGACTGATCACCATGCAGGAAGACTGCATAGCAATCATTGTTCAATTTTCTTACATTTTTTTGTGTGAACTTAGCTTTTTTGCCAAAGGAAATATTTGTTAACCACCCATCTTTTTTTCCTTACAGAGTTGCATATCTTTGGGAATGGCTTTTTAATACTTTAACTTTTCTATCCCATATAGAAATCTATGTGACACACCATGACATTGCACTGATGTCAATTTTCTTTATTGTCATCTTGTTGGGAAGAGTTTTTCAGTTTCATCTATGGTGAGAACAGTTCAGTTGCAACTGCTACTGTCCTGAAGAGTGAAAGAGTATATTTTTCTTTTGGTGTTAGACATGATGCAATTAAAGAGGAAAATAAAACATGGTTTTCTTACTGGTTTCTCTGCAGAGCAGAATGGAGGGAGTAATGAAAGAAAAATCAATGTTGAGTAAAAGGACCTATGAGGTTTATTGCAATTAGGTCTATAATTGCACAAGAAGTCTAGATAAAAAGGCAGGGATTTCTCCAACTAGCTTGGGTTGCATGGTGAAATATACCAGAAACATAACTTGGGAACTTAAAATGGAGGGGGCAGGAATGTCTGCATAAGAAAATATCAGAATTCAGTGTTCTATTCACTTACATTAAATTGTTTGAACTCAATATTTTTGACATGGCATGTAGAGCTGGGCTGCAAATAAGCCATTTATTTACAGTATCCTTAAGAAAACTGAAAATACTACTGAAAGCTGCAGAGAGCGGCAACAGTAAATTTTGCTAAATTAGGCTCGCGTCATTTCTACTGTAATCCTGCATATATTTATCTTAAAATAGATTCGACTGAATTAAATGGCCATGGGATTTCCTAATCGTGTGCCAGGCCTTCAGGCCTATAAGCAAGAATGGTTATAGTCGGAAAAGAAAGCGTTTCTGTTCGCTTGGGAGCGTTCTAACTAGCAAATGGTTACTTTATATATAGCAAGATGTACAGAAAACAATCCGTTTTGATTCCTTAAACAGGAGGTGTCCGCGCAATCATCGCAAGGCATTTTTCTTACGCGCCCTTTGTTTTCAAAGCTGCCTATAAACCTCAGAAGACCGGGCGGCACCCCCCAAACTGGAAGAAAAGCACGGGCCTGGTACGTAACCGGAGGCTCCTCCCACCCCCTGGCCCCCCAAAACACACCGTTTTTCATTGGCCGATGGAACCTTTTATTCAAGAAACGCGAGTTGGGAAGCGTCAGAGGGAAATTCAAAGGCGAGGCTAGATCGATAGAGACAGAAACATTCAAAGCGTTCTCGAGATACCTTTCAACATAGATCTATAATTCTATTCAGCCGCAGGGAATCTTGGCCAATGACGATTCTCACTTTTTTTTTTTTTAAATCGGAAGCTCTGATTCTATATGTACGTAGCGGCGGCGGCTCCTCCTCCTCAGGCCTAACTTGCTCTGAAGGTGGCGGAAACAGGAACCATTTGGAACCGGAACTAATCGAACAGAGGAGGAGAAGAAGCGGCCGTGGGAGACTCCTTTTGTCCTCCACCGCAGGTCACGTGGTGGTGGCACGACAGCTCCTTCCTCTGCCCCCCCCGCGGCGGAGCCCGGTGCGGCTGCAGCATGGCGGACACGGCCTCGCAGGTGCTGCTGGGTTCCGGCCTCACGGTGCTCTCGCAGCCTCTTATGTACGTGAAGGTGCTAGTGCAGGTGAGACCTTCAGCCGCTTCAGTTTCTCCTCTTGTGCGAGAGCGTGAGAAGGGGACACCCGGGAGGGAGGGGCCGCCCCTCGCTCTTTTCGGGGTGTTGAAATTGCTTCCTCGTCGGCGATCGCTCTGCTCTGGGTCGCTGTTGGCCCTCACCGTAGCAGGCTCACCCCACACCCTCAGTCTCCGGGCCTTTATTTGCTCTTCGCCTACCTCTCTTGTTCCGAGGTGTATAGTCGCCGCGCTAGAAGCGGTAAAGAAGCCACCGCTGTGAACACAGATCGGCTCTTGCTGCTCATCTCCCCCCACTTCTGCTCAGAGCACCTCCGCAATCTGTGCCTCTGCTTAGAAACACCGGTATTATCAGGGACGAGGTTCCTTGGGGAACAGGAGCCACAGCTCGATCTTTTCCAGAGCTTAATTTTTCCCAAGAACCTTGTTTTGCACTCAGGTAATAGCAGAAACTTCCTTAGTGCAGGATTTCAGTCCAGTTGTGGTGGATGACCGGGCAAGTGCCCTTAGACCCTTCACAGAGTTCGCGTTTGTAAAAAGAATGCTTCCGCTGGGGTTTTGCTGTCGTCAAACACTCCGCCAGTTGCTTGTCACACTCACACGCCATTCTGCCACAGATGCTTTTTGACCTGCACTCTGTCTTGGATGTTTTACACAGCAGTTTGTAGCGCTGCCATTTTACTCTGTTGTGACATTTCAGAGAGAGCCTGGTGTGGCGATAACAGCAGTCATGCAAAAAACAGCAGTGATCCACTGCATCCAGAGGCTTCCCAAAGCCACCTTTCCCACAGTAGCAGCCATATAGGTTGAGCGCTAGCAGTGGGATTTGCAGACGGTCCCGATAACACCACAGAGTCAGAACCATTTCCAGGACACTGCGCTTCTCTCGTGTACTGCCTATACTTGGTTTAAATTCTTGCAAGAATAAAATTCCCAGTGTAAGCCACAGGGCAGTCCTCATTGCAGAAGCCAAATTCTAACTAAGCCAATTTCAAATTAGTTTGTTCCACTCAAGTATCTTTGCAAGTAAGCTGATTTTCAAAATCCCAGTCAATGTTCTAGTTTTATATCAACCGCATATTCAAGTGTGTCAACGTCTTATTTTTATTGGTGGTGTCTAGGACACTCCCAGATAAACTGCCAATAATTTCAGACTTGAGAACTTCTTTATTTAGTAACATTGGATGTTGTTTTTGGCAAGCTGTGTCTTCATACTTATTTCATCCTTGGCTGAAAACCATAGTTGTGTAAAAACTACAGTCTGCCTCAAGCATTTAACAACCAATGTGCTTTCAGAACATGAGCTTCTAATAAAAAATACAAGCTATAAAAGGATATTTTTATTTTCAGGATATGAATACATGAATCCCTGCAATTTAACCTTAAATCTTTGAACCTTAAATTTGTAAAGAGAAATGAGACACTGTTATTAATCTTATAACTGTTCACCAAGGGCTGCTTAGGGCCAGGGGAATATCTGGCTGTCTGTGTATGGAAAGTATCCTCTGTATGATGAGTACACTTGTGTACTCTGAGAAATCAGAAAACTTGGTATTTGCTTGCCAATAAAACTTTCTGCTGAATTGCAGATTTCCTAAATAATTTAAGTTGTGAACTGGAATGTCTGCATCTGGCATGCTCTTAGCAAATCAATCAATGAATCACCAAAGCAATTTCATCTTAAGAATTAACCACCTAGTTATTTTATAACTTAACCATCCTAGTTACAACACATTTGGAGGCAGCAAGATATGTTAAGGGAAATTTTCTGCTTTAAAATAATGAAAATTTAATAGCAAAATATAGTAAAAGGGTAAGTAAGGGGTTAGAAGAATTTGTTTGAAATTAAGGAAGATTGCTATGAGGTGTCTATGGGGGATATATGTTTGCATTATAGTTCTAAATTTGTCATATAATAATAAAAAACAATGTCAGTATCCAATATCCTGAATTGCAGGTTACCTTAGTACTGGACACATATTGCAAAATCACAACCAGCTTCTAAAAATAGTGGTTTTGGTATTTGATACTTAAAGCATTGGTCCTGCAAGAACTTCTTGTTAATGAAATAGCTGTATTAATGCTGTGAAAAAGCATGTAACTGTTTCTTTGAGGGGATATTCACTCTGTAGACTACTGTATAAAGATCACTATAGATTGTCTCTATTTCAAAGGTGGGATATGAACCCCTCCCTCCAACTCTGGGAAGAAATATTTTTGGACGACAAGTCTATCAGCTGCCTGGTCTCTTTGCTTATGGTGAGTATATAATGTATGCATTTTGCAAATGAACAGCAAGAGCCTAAAACACAGTAGGATTGCTGTAGTTACTGAAGTGCAGGTGAGAAACATATGCCTTTGAATTAGACCTTTTTTGGATACATTATAATAAGTTTTGCTAAAGATTTTACAACTTTTGAAGAAAAGTAGAGAGAGTTTTGAATTTGGTTCATATCTAAACTGGGTATTTTAAAAGAAATGTCAAAATAGTTTGTATGCTTACTCACTTTTGAATTCCAGCTAGTAAGCAGTGTTTTGTCAGTAATGTTTAGTCAGTTGCATCTCTTCCTGTGCCTACAGTCTTTTCAAGCACTGTGTTTTTAATTCGATTTACAAATGCATGTGCATGTTGTAGCAATGCCACATTTTCTCCATTGTGCAGCTTATACAGTAACATTTTTTAAAATCCCTGTTTAATGTAGGGATTGAATATCTGTTTTGAACTATAGGTTTCTAATCTTTGGCTATTTTGGTGTTGAACTCTCACCTAGTTACCAGTTTATGATTTGACTTTTCTTCATGCATTTGTCTGATGATAGGCTTTGAATTTCCATCAGGTTGCCAATTTGTGATCTGTTGTTTTTTCATACCTTTATTCAAAGCAGTCAGTGATTTTTAACTGTAGCTATTGTTATCATTGAGCAGAGATGGCAAGATATGGTGCTCCAGATATTTTGGGATTACAGTTCTTGTTACTCCTTAGTGTTGGCCAGAGTAATAAGAGTTGAGAATCAATAAGGAGAGCTACAGATTGCTCATCCTTGCTTTAGCAGATAATAGAGTCCGGTAAGGACTAGTACACTGTATGATGCTGTTGCAGATGTTATGTGCAGCCAGTGCATAGTTGAATGATATGAATGTGGTTAATACCAGTGTTTCTAATATGGCTTTAAGCAGAATCCTTTCTAGCATGGGTTAGATTCAGATATATGATACTTTGGGGAGAAGGGTCAATAATGGGACAGATGCCTACCTCTGTTTCTGTTTTCAGCAAAACACATTATGAAGATTGATGGGAGGGCTGGACTCTTCAAAGGTTTGGCTCCTAGACTCTGCTCAGGAGCCATTGGCACTGTAGTACACAGTAAAGTTTTACAGGTACTTTATAATTTGGTTGAATATTATTTTTAATATACAAAGTATTTCACATACTTTATTTTATAATGTAGATAATTTTTCTTGAATTTTGCTAATAACCTGTTAACAAATTTATTATTGCAGAGATTGTCATTAAAAACCCAAAATGTGGATAAGATTCTTCCTTTTCAGCACAATCCACAGTTTGCTGTTAATTCCACATCTCCACCTGTGATTGCATTCATTCTCCAAGCCAGGATTGCATGTCACAGCTCAAAGCCCCATAGCTCTGAACCAGTTTGATGTTCAGTTCTCTGGTCATCAAAGCTTTTTATTCATAGGGTGTACAATTTTTATTTGATCTTAATGTAAACTTGTTTGTGTTCTGCCAGGATTGCTACTGCAGTTATTTTGTTAGACCAACCTATAAAGAAATATTAGCAGTGGTGTTAGGTTACATGTTGGGACAAGCACAGAGCACACAATCAGGTAATGCTAAATGTAGTCCTTGCTTAACAACCATTTGTTCAGTGACCATTCAAAGTTACAGCGGTGCTGAATGAATGGTACTTACGCTTGGTCCCCAAAGTTATGGCCGTTGCAGTACCCCCAAGGTCATGTGATCAAAATTTGGGCGATTGGCAGCCCACCCACACTTATGACCGCAGGGGTGTTTCAGCCCCCCTCACCCACCTATCTCCTCCTCATCTCTGGCTTTTTGGCCACCCTGCATAGCAGCACTCCTCAGTGGCGGCAGCGCTGGGCCTAAAGTAGAGGCCTGGGGCCTTCAGCGGTCTCAGCTGGCTGTCACTGCCCCCGGGCCTCTACTTCAGCCCCATTGCTGCCGCTGAATGCCCCCTCAAGCCCTGTGCATGGCCAGCCACCCCAGTGTCATGGCAAAAGCCTCCCCTGCTCTGTGTTCTGCAGCCCTGCTGCGCCCAGCTAACCTTTGCTTTCTTCCTCCCGGTGCTAATGAGATGCACCCAGCCTGGCCCTATATGAAGCAGCTGCTGGCCATGCCAGGCCTTCTTCCTGAGGCCTCTCGTGCTGTTTTCCAGATAGCACATGCCGTTCTCACAATGCTTCAGAAAGCCTTCAGGCAGCTTCTGAGGCCCTCTGAAACCTCACGAGAACCGCACAATTTGGAGAACGGTGGGCGCGGCCTTCTGGCAATGCTTCAGAAAGCCTTCAGGAGGCTTCTGAGGCCTTCTGAAACCTCACAAAAAGGCTGCACCCAGCATTCTTCAAATCAGTGGCAGCTGGTGGCTGAGACTGCTGAAGGCTGCAGGCCTCTACTTCAGCTCCAGCGCCACCAAGGAGTGCCGCTGTGCAGGGCAGCCAAAAGGGCAGAGATGGGGGGGAGCTAGGCAGATGGGGGAGTTGAAGAGGAGGCAGTCCCTTACCTTACCAAGGCTTGGGTCTGGGAGGGACCAAGCTGGGAGTGGCTTGGATTGGGACGGGTCCTTGCATAATGACTGGCGGGATTTGGTTAACAACAGCAGTGGACTACTGGGATTTCTGTTGCTAAGTGATGCAGTCACGTAACTTTGCTCTTTACGACTGCATCCCTTACCGATGGAAATTCCAGTCCAAATTACCATCATAACTCGAGTACTACCTGTATTGCAGGAATAATGTGCAAGTATTTAACATAATGTATGTTGCCATATTTACTATAAGTAACTGCTTTTTAGTAAAAAAAAAAGTATTAATGTCACTAAAAAGTAAAATCAGTAGAAAGTACAAATTAAAAAAAATGAAAATGAGTTGTTACCAAGCAGGCTTTATTCTTCAAGGAAACAGAGTTGTACAAGAAGCCCTAGGCAAACATAGCTATCATCTCTAGTAAATAAAGGAACAGATAGAGCAGATACTTTTTGCATCAATTCTGCTACCCATCTTTTGTATATATATGAATTGGATATATGGAACAGGTTTGTTAGCCTAGCTACTGGGTTTATAGAATGTAACTTAATTTGGAAAAAGTTCAGCAGTCTAGGTTAATAAGAGTGCAGTAATGGAATCTTTTAAAAATAAGATACTTTTCCCCCAGGCAAGTAACTAGAGTGTTTTAAAATAGAGGGGCCGGTATAGCAAGTAATTTTTGAGTTAAGAAAGAGCAATGTACGTGTGGGTGGGGTGGGGTAGGGTGGGTGGCTATAAGTACAACAGTGGCTGGATCAGAAGCCGGGTAATACGAAATGGAATTCTTCACTGGTGTTCAGATAGTGAGATTCAACTGTGTTTGTAGAGTAGTTGTTACACTTTTGTTTTCCTCAGAAACTGAACTATTTTCTCAGATTTGCATTTTGACAGAGTTTGTGTATTTGCATTCTTCATTGGCTGCGTGAGCTATATGTTGAATTTGTAGTTATTCTTGTTTGTGGTGCCTTTGGTGCTTGAGTGATATGTTATAGAATGTACAGTGTAGGTCTGTAATCTGTAATCTGGTCCAAGGAGCTTTCAACTGAAATAAAGAACTACAGGAGGATTGTAGGAAAGGAATGTAAGTGCGATGATATGCATTTAATGCTATTGGTAATAAAAGATTGAGGAGATAAATTAGAAGCTTATATTTGTATGTTTTCTCTCTGTCTAGCACTGCCAGAATGCTGACCAAAGTGAGGTATGTCATGAAGTTCCTTCATGAATAACTTCTTTCTTTTCCGATAAAGCTTCTTTTTGAGATTATAGATTGTGGCACATGCCTATGCTCTGTATTGCAATCTGTGGGAGTAGAAAGCTATGCAGAATTCGTACAGTAAAACTGATAATATAACAAGATACCTGGTATTGAGGCCTTGAGGATGCTCTAACTAGTGGCTTTTGAGACTGACTTTCCTGCTTTTTCTCTCCAGGAATTAGGGAGTAGTCGTAAAGAATCTGGATCCTCTCTGGATCAAGTTATCAAGGAGGTAAGGTATAGGATTCATTTATCAGGGGATTGGCTGGCTGTGGTTCCTGTAGAAGAGCATTCCTGACCTGGTGCCCTCCAAATGTGTTGGCTGGTGGATGATTGGAATGATAGTCTATTGTTTCTGGAACCAGGAGATATGAGGCAGCAGGCTGTTCAGCTATACTACAGATTGTGTCATAATGAAGTTGAGAAGCATGAATATCTTGTTAGCATAGGAAAGCATAGAAGTGAGCAGTCTCTCTGCTTTCGTGACATCATGGATTCTGGCTCCAGTTTTGTTAGCTATCTAAGCAATAATATCTACAAATTGTTCGAAGAAGAACGTATATCTAAACATAATGGGCTTACATCTATAGCACTTGTCCTCCAACTGAGGTATATAAACCAGACAAATAGAAGGATGTCTTCTAGATTTTTATAGTGGGATATATTGGGATATATTTGGGGTATATGGGGGGGATGTGCCGAATGTGATAGCAGGGCAGTGATTTTTTTCTGAGTGATAACTTGGTTGAAATAGATTGATCTATATAGCAGTGATAACTAATGAAAACGTTTAACCTTACTACTGTACTTCAAATTGTAATATATGATGAGCAGCAGTTATTTAACCCTTTACTGGAACCTGGATAGGTGGACATCTTGCATCTTGCCCTTTCTTTGGCTAGCCTTTCTGCTGATATGTCTCCAACTGTTTTTCATCTTAGACCACTCAAGAGATGATTGCACGTTCTGCTGCTACACTAGTCACCCACCCATTTCATGGTATGTATGGACTCGTGCCTTTCATTGTAACTCCTAGATACAGAAGAAATGCTTTCCCATCTACCACCAGTTGTTTGGCTATGCGCTAAGACAGGAGACGGCTGTGCCCTGACCCTTCCCTGCTATGTTCTTACCACTTCAGTGCTCTTAAGCTGCAGACAGTTGGCAGTGATGGATAATTAACTGTTGGAAACATTTCCACCCTGCCTTCCTCAGCGAGCATTAACTAGCTAATAAGGTGGAATTGTGAAAACTACCATGTAATCAGACAAATACACTAGGACCAGCAGTGAGAGAAATTAAAAAGATAAATGACTGTGCACACACAAATTTAACCATAACAGTCAAATCCACTTAAAAAGAAGACTCTGACCATGCTTGAGAACGTCCTTTGAGGGGCAGTGATGAGAGGAACCTACCTGGGGGGGATGTGCCATGGGCTGAGTGCAGCTAATGAAAAGGCCCTCTTCACCTGAGCCCCAGTGAAATGGGTTTCTAGAGGTGTTGCAACATGCAAGAAGGCCCTTGGTGATAACCTCAAAAGGTGGGCAGGTAATATAGGGTAAGGTAGTTCTTTTGGTGTCCTAATGTCAAGTTTCTTCTCACAGAAAGAGGTCTCTTCTCAGCACTTTGAACTGAGCCAGAATAGCTGATTCAGTAAGAGTTTTGTGTCCTCCCAAATGCAGCACCTCAGGATAACCTCGCACAGGATTTTGTCCATTCTGATTTTCTAATAAGTGTGAAATGCCACTGCTGTAATCCAGATGCAATCTAATTCAGGAATGTATTACTGTGGCCAGATGGGCCATCTCCAGGAATGTCTGTAGTTGACATTCCAACCTCAGCTGAGCAAAAGCAATTTTGGCCATAATCAAAACCTGGTTATTTCAGGTCCAAAAGAATTCTAGATGCTGAACTGACATTTTCAAAAGGAGCGCTATTTCAACCCATACTGGTTGCACCCATTTTACCCGATTGGTTGTATCATTCAGGGGCATAGCTATTTTGTCTGGATTCATCTTGACTTATGAATCTTGGGATTATATGCTCCTGTTTAAATGTAAATTTGGGGAGGAGTGCAGATGAGGTCTTCCTTAACAATAGTTTTTCCCTTTTGACTCTCTCCCTGTCCTTCAGTGATCACCTTGAGGTGTATGGTGCAGTTCATTGGCAGAGAGACCAAGTACAGGTATCTGCATATTTGTAAGCTGGTTTCATTGGGGTTTTAATCCACACAAGGGATGGAATTGAGGGCTGGGACACAAATTAATGTGTGATGTCAGAGGTGTTCTATTGTTGTAATTAGAAATGGTGTCTGTAGAATAGGAAACCACATGTTATTTTTAGAGTCTTGATGGATTGTTTTCCCCTTCAATTTTCAGTGGAGTGTTTAGCTCTTTTGTCACCATTTACCGGGAAGAGGGCATCTTTGGATTTTTTGCGTGAGTACTTTCTAGGGTGTGTTTTTACCATTTATCCATGCCATAATGGCTAGTGCAGGGATAAGATGGATTTTGCAGAGGATGTTCTCAGAGTGAGCACAGTATGCCACTGCATACTGTATTAGTTGCTGGAGGAAGGCTATTATTTGCATGCTTTCAGAAGGCATCTGACTGGATGTTGTGGGAGACAGGATGCTGGATTAGGTGAAGCAGTGTTCTTCTTAAACAACACACCATCCCAAAGTGGGTGGCAAAAATGGTCATTTTTTTCTTGGGGTTGCTCATCCTAGTCTTGCACATGCTTGACCAGTCTCCTGCCCTGTGAGCCGAGTTAGTGGCAACTATGTTGTCATGTTAGTGTTGATGTTTTCCAGCCTTATTCAGTCAGCTGTTTCCTTTCAGGGGCCTTATTCCCCGCCTGCTTGGAGACATCCTGTCCTTGTGGCTTTGTAATATGCTGGCCTACCTCATCAATACCTCTGTACTGGAGAATGGGGTAAGTGTTCTACTTGTAAAGTCCATAGTTGAAGCAGCTATGACTGCTGAGCTGAGACTGGCTTTGAGGCATAGTGCAACTTTCTGGTATTGGCCTTGAAAATGCCCATTCTTGCTGAGCTGCAGCAACCTCATGAGTACAGGCATGCATGAAATGAAAAATGTGGTTTGTTCCATACATGGAAGAAACATTTGTGCTTTTGGGATTTCTGTCAAGCTATTCTGAATGGTCCATAGCTCAATTGGACTGAGACCTGATACTCTGGGGTTTGTTCTGGGCTCTAGCAAAAATAAATTTGAGGAAATCTTGTGGGGCAAGTAGGGCAAGACTGATACACCTCATCCTTCCCTCTTCCTCACATAGTTCACTGTCTGCCCCTGCAGATTCCCAACAGCTCTCACACCTCCATTTAGCTGCTGCTGTACCACTGCTGATGCCCAGACGCCTAACACCCCTGCATGGGACACAATTGCCTTTGGGTCATTTCCAAACCAAACACATATCTCAAGTCTGGGTCTAGGTGAAAAACATGGATTTTGGTGCAGGCACAGACCACCCACATTAAGTATTGGTTCCAGAGACAGGATGGTCTGTGCAAAGAATGCTTTACACACCCCAACTCACAAGCATCAGCTAAGTCAAGTATTATTTTTGCTGTTCACAACCTATAAATGTGGCTGCATATTAGTACCAAGTCAGTTATATGTCTTCTCGTGGGGATAAGTTAGGTTTCTTAGGTGATGCACTTTGGTTGCAAAAGCAAAGGGCCGTTTTGAAGCATGCAGGAGCATAAATAAACATAACCTCTGTCAGCATCTCCTTAAAACAGCCATGATTGCCGTCTGTGGCTGCTGCATGATCCTGAGGAAACAACTCCTTGGGTTTAAGGAGTTGTGGTCAGGGTTGTCTTTAGGCTGTTGCATGCACCAAAGCATCTTCTTGCCTTGAACCTGAAGCCCTTCACAGTCCTGGGAGGCATCTTCTTTACCTTTTGGTGAAATGTTGGGAATGACCTCTGTTATTGAGGAACCTTTGTTTTATTGATGAATTTTCTTTCTAGGTCTCCACCATGACTGAGATGAAGAGTTACTCTCAGGCTGTCACTGGAGTGCGTGTATAATTTAATTTCTTTTTCTTTGGGGGAATGAAAGGGAAAAGGGTTCTGTGAGGACCACAAGCCTCATAACTCACTTTTAAAACTTTGGTCTTGATGGTCTTATGAGGGATGCTAGACCTCATGGAATTAACTGATGTTGTTCCAAATGCCTTGCAATCTTCAGCTTTCAGAATCTCTGTCCAATGTTGGAATTCTCCACCTCTTCACTAGAGATGTATCAAATGCTAAGCAAGTGCTGTTGCTAGGTTCAGATTACTTTGGGGGCTGAGCTGAGCAATTGCCAGTCTTTTCCTTTCTTCTGCTTTGTAATCAGTACACGTTTTTATCCTTCTGTTAAGCCCATGAAGTTGCTGTTCACCTGCATGGGGCATGATCAATGGTAGATCTGTCATTATCTATCTTTCAGCCTGATTTGTGAGGAAGGAGAGTTGACATACTGTTTCCATTGGTACATTATGCTGTATTGTACTTTCAGTTCTTTGCCAGTATGCTGACCTACCCCTTCGTACTGGTTTCAAACCTGATGGCCATTAATAGCTGTGGGTAAGTGCACATTTTCCTTTCTTTCACTTGGCTTTGTTTTCAGATGCACAATACATAAAGCTCAGTCTTTCTTTTTCAGGCCCTTTTCTTTCATCAACCATTGAGAATTTTAGCAGTATGCTGCGCCTTGCCACAATGTTGTTCATGTTTTCAGTAATTGCTCTTTGGAATGTTTGTACTGTAGCCAACTGAGCTAAAAAAAAAGTTTGTGACCTTTTTTTAGGAGGTTGATGGAAAGTCTAAAAGAAGTCAAAGGTTTTAATTTAAAAGTACAGTGGCCAAAAAAACTATTATTTTATAGTGCCCTGCCTATATCCAAAATAGTTGTGGCTGGAGAAAGAGCTAAAGGTTTCAGAAAGTTTGAACACTTGTGGGTAGCAGCAAATCCAACACACTTTTAGAAATTCATGTTATATAAGTATATAAAGGATTGAAAACAGTCTGGACTCTTTCATTTGGTACTATCCAGTCATATGGAATGGGAATCTAGTTTTAAGTTTTTGATTATAATTCTGGAGTCTGAAACTGCCTGGATACTGTTTCTTTCCTGTGATATATTCTATTGTGGCAATAGCTTTGCTCATAAAATGATACATTCTAAATTTGCAGGATCAGAGTTTTTTTGGACTGGCATTTTGATTCCAGTTTTGACCAGTGAGATCCTTGCAGTAAACTTACCAGTAGGGTATGAAGACAGTAGTCCTCTCATTTGTGCCAAGTATCCATTGTTCAGAGATATCACTCCTAAATGTGGGGATTACATTTAACTCTTGTCTGCATTTTGATGTCTGTCTGTTCAGAAGTAAATGCAGTTTAGCTTAGTATAATTTACTGCAAGGTAAGTGTGCATGGCCTAAGTCAATAAAACATATGTTAAGTATTTCGATTTGTTAGTTCCTATGATACAGTCAGTTTCATGGTGACATTCCAAATGCCATTATGGAATGGTGAGGGCAACCTTTTGTCTGTGGTTGCTAATTTGCTAATTTATAATTTCTATCCTTATCATTGTAAATAATGTGTTGATTATTAGACTGCTGTGTCATATAGAAGCCAGTTGCGGGCCAGTTTCCTATTAGGCTGCCTGTTGAGTTTTGTCTCAACCGCCTTGGCTCTTGCTTGATCCAGCTTCACTGTGGACCAAAAGGGGCTGCTCTGGAAGTGGCATCTAGGCTGTGACTTCAAGTGATCTTCAAACAGGAGCCTGGCACTGAAAACTGGTGGTGAGTGAATTCTGTAAACCTTGTCTTCTATTTTCCAGGCTCGCTGCTGGCCTCCCACCTTATGCGCCAGCGTACACCTCCTGGTTACATTGCTGGAGCCAACTGCATGGGGAGGTATGTCTGAAATGTCTGTCCTTCCTTACAGGATCCTGATGTTTTGCTTTGGATATGGGTGTGAAATTGACAAGGCAGAGTCCCTCCTTTGGGCATACCTCCATCCAAGTGAAAACGCCAAACCAAGTTGTCCTGGTGTAGCTTGGAGGACCTTACACACACACACCCTGCTGAATGCAGACCAGCTGGCCCTCAAACCTCAGTTGCTGTGTAGAGTGTGAACTTCCAGAGGGCCCTGATCCTCTGTCTCTACAGAACTCTCACATGCTTCATTTTCTTCTCATTCAGGGCAACATGAGCCGAGGCAACACCCTGTTTTTCCGGAAGGTGCCTACAGGAAAGCGATATGTGTGGGAAGAGAAGAGATTTCATTGAGTCTGCAGCCTCTTGTGGCTGCTCCAGATGCACAGAATGATGGCAGTGTGTTGATTTCTATACAGTTTTTTAAAATAATCATTTAACCTTGGGAAATGGACTTGACTGCGAGCATGACTTAATGACAAAAGTAGAAGGGGAAATCCTGTCCCCACCTCTCTTCCCTCATTTAGAGGGAGGATGGGGTAATTGCCAAAAAGCTGCCACGGGGAGCTTCCCACGAGGGGAAAAATGGAGGTTTACTGTCTTGTGAATAGGGATTTTTAAAAACTTTCTCCAGAGAGAAACATCTGTGCTGGGAATATAGCATGGCAAGAACATGTGCCCCTCATGTTCTTGCCATGTTGTCCACTTACTACTGCGAGTTGGTTGCAAAGCTGTGTTTTTTCTCTGGAAATAGGCTGCTGATGGAATGAGATGGGTTCCATTTGGCCTTGTGCATTTTATTTGCAGCTGTTAGATCAACTTGGGGAAAGTGGACCAATATTTTTTCCTTACCCAGAGACAAAGTCATTTCTTAGTCTTCATTCCTTCAAACATATTGTTAAATTTTGCTTTAGTTAAGCCAGAAGATGAGCCTGCTTGACTATACAGAAGGTTCAGCATTATCAAGGGGCAAATAGAACCTGTCTTCTGCTGCTGAGCAGATTCAGAAAACATCTCTCACTTTTTCTGCAAGATGGCTGAGGGAGATTTACTCGTGATGGCCACTGAAAGGAGATGCCACTTTTAGTAGTCCACTGTATGGATTAAGCAATTTTCTCCCAAAGCTATCACAAATATTTAAAAAGGAAGATCTGTGGTTATGGGGAGAAAGCCATCTAATTACTTGTCTCCCACGCTGCCCACAAATAGCCCCCGCATAGGGATAGCTTTAATGTAAATTGAATTCTGTGTAGCCTTTGCAAGATTTCAGTCAAAAACTGAGTGCCAAAGCTTCTTGGGCACAAGAGCATTTCATCTGGCATTCATGCAGAAGTTCTAAGTGAATAACCATCTTCTGAAAATGGCGATTCCACCACAGGATGGAAGGGTATGAAGTAGGGTCCTTTGGGTACAAGAGACTCCAGAAGAGATGAAGTTACCCTTATAGTTGTGCCTGGCGAAATGGCTGTTCAAAAATGTGATCAGGAAACTTACTGGCAGTGCAGAATGTTATGGGGTTAATTCAATATGCTCTTAAAATTCCATTCAAATTTTATAATGTCAATAAAGCCGTAAGTGTAACTGGAGGACATAATTGATACACATTTGTAATATGCTCCTACCAGCTACCCAGTGTGATAGACTGTAAGCTTGGTCCCATGTCTTCATCATGTACTGTGTAATTAACCTGGTGGAAGAGCGTTTCTGTCCCTTCTTACAATTTTTAAAAAGAGAAGATTATTCATACTTGATTATGCCACAGTCCCCAGAGAAGTTGTAGATAGATGGGACATTTAGATGTTATGTATCAGATTCCAAAGTATGTTGTCTTCAGACAGTTGGGTATGTTACACATATTATGATCAGCAATCCAGCAAATGTGATAATTCCAAACACATGCTCTTTATAACCTCTCTAGATGGCATTTAAGGTAGTTTTATTTTTGGATTGGAAAAGAGCAACTATTTTTGGCATGATGGATAGAATAAATAAGTGAACAAATAGAGATAATGAGCAAACACCCTGAGTGTGATACATTGATGAAATAAGAGATATTCAGAAACACTAAATACTTGTGAATTCTGCTGGTGACTATGGTATGGTATGATTCACTTAGGCAAGATGCTTACATTTTGAAGGGGCTAAGGTAGTTTCAAGAATTAAGCTAGATGCTTAAAGCCCTACACAGGAATATATCTTTCTGGTAAATTCTGACAACTGAATGTGTTCTCCAGACCTTGTGGTAAGGTCATTAGTCCTTGGCTCCTATAAGAGTCTGGGGCCCTACGGCTTTGTTTAAATAGCCTGGAATCACTGTACTAATGCTTAAAAAATAGTGACTTTATTCTTTCTCACTGATAAAATGAGAAATGGTTCCTCAGACATTCTTACAGTTTTGTTTTATTCAGACTAGTAGAAACTGTCTTAGCATCTATTGGTCTTCAAAGCACTTTCTGTGCATTTTACAAACGTAGATATCAATTGGAATGTTACGGTAAGAAATCAGATATTATACAGTGTATATCTTAGTTGCATCAGTCACATCTGGGATCTCCAAATACTGAATTTTTTTAGCACTTTACTGAGCCTCTATGACTGTGCCAAAGTAGTGTTAATATGTCAGAACATATTTAAGAAACTACATTCTTGCATGGTTGAGCTTTCTAGCTTGCTAGATCTCATTCAATGATTTCTGTCATTGGAAAGTTTGGGAAGCTCAATTTGTGATTTGGTAGCCAAAGTACAGGTTAAATTTTAATATAAGTCATCAGAGTATCAAAATGAAAGGTGGCTGGCATCATAATTTGCAATGGTAGCAAAGGCCTAATTTTTTGTGGAACTTGCTGTTCCTGTGACATAAGCAGTGCACATATTGTAGATGTGTCTTCCAGAACCTACTCTTACTATAAGTAATCTATGTAATTTCTTGGCTAATTCTGCTACTGCCATTTAAATATAGCCTTTGCCATGGTGAACTGGCATGAGTTCAGAACTAATCTGGCACCATCTCAGAGGGGGCATCCACCAGAAGACAACTGCTAGGGAAACGGTCTGAGCACTTAAAAGTTGCTCCTGAAGATCAAATCTGGTTCTAAATTTACAAATGTTTATTATGATCTTATGCCCACTTGAAGCTAAAAAGAACACAAAACATGTAACTGAATTTTCTGGCATTTTTCTAGATCCAGGCGCAATGTCCTTTTCCACGTATCCAACTCTCCTGCAGTGGATGGCTCCGGCTCCCCATTTTGCAGAGTGTTTAGCTAGCAGTCATGCGAAATGTAGCTATATCTGTCTTTTATAAAGCCTGTAGTTAAGATGTGAAGTTGGCTTGGCTCATGAGCTAGCCATTATGTGGTTACCTTCATCTTACTCAAGAAGAGGGATGTGGGCATGTGGAGGAGGGGAGAGAATCATTTCTCAGTTGTGCAAGACATGGAAAAGATAGAACAGTGGCCTCTACTGTTCAAAAGGATTTCTTATGTGAAAAACACAGGAAAAAAATGAGACGGGAATTGTATAAGTCAGGGTATTGTACTTGTGAGAGGGATTGCTGCAAGTCTCTTCTAGTGTACAAATTCTAGCTGACATCTGTGTATGCAGAAGAGACATGCAGTGCTCTGGCTACTAGGCATTTTTCAAGCCTGCTCTGAAAATTTAACACCCATTCTAAAAATCTTACACAAGAGTCACTTAGAATATTTTGCCTGATACAGGACTGCAGTCAGTGGAACCCAACATTCTATGTTTCTAGTCTACTGCCAGCTGTCTCCTTCCCAAGCTTTTAGTGCGACCTGCAGTTTGATGTACCTACATATGGCAGGTTTTCATCCGAAATAAAAGCCTGGATCTGAGCAGCGAAAAAATGCTTAGAAGCAACTAAGCATTACTTGATAGCAACTGCACATTAATATGTCAATGTCCCCAAAAAGCTGTCTACTACTGTACAGTGAGTTACATTTGAGATGGTATGGTATTTTTATAGCAAGATATTTTTATTTCTGTAAACTGTATAGCTGCCCATCTCATGACAGTGACTCTGGGTGATCCACAGAGGTTTAAAAACAAAACATAATACAACCCTCTAAATTATTATTAATAATATTTGGCATAGCATACTCCCAAGCCTTAACCTTCCATATTCAATCTATACAGACCAAAACTAACCCGCCAACAGGGCTGGTTCAGCCTCCCCACTCAAGTGCCTGAGGGAACGTCCAGGTCTTTAGTGCCTTATGAAAGGCTGGAAGGGTTGGGGCCATCCTGATCTCCGGGTGGATCTTCCACAGTGTACATATAGATATAACAGTTTAAAAGGCCAATTTAACCATTTAAAAGTGCATTAAGAGTAATGTTCTGGTCAGCAGAAGTATGGCACCGCTTTGTTCTGCTTTCAGGTACTGTAGCTTAAGGGTAGTTCTGTATCAAGAGCACATCCAGAGGACAATGAATGACCTACAGATCAAATCTAGCAAAAAGAGGTGTGCTGAGTCAGGAATAAAGGAGCACCATACAGACTTCATTTTCCATCACTTCAATAGGGAGGACCAACGCCAAGTGCTCAAATAAATTATTCAATATTAGGAGTAATTTCCTGAAGATACAAACTCTGGCAGTAAAACCAACTTTCTGCCAGAGTGGTGGGCTCTCAGCTAGAGGCTTTTAAGCTCCATAACAGAATGTTGTAATAGTGGCTTTCCTGCATTGAACTAAATGCCTTTTGAGATTCCTTTCAACTCTCTTGATTTTATGAAACTGAAGAAAAATGGCTGTTCTCTAGGAAAAATGACTCGGTGAGCAAATGAGGCTGTGAAAAAGGGCTGTTGATCAGTGTCTCTCCCTGTCAGTCTGAAGACCAAAGATGATGGCTGGTGTGGGTCTTCCGGGGTGTGTGGCCGTGTTCTGGAAGTTTTGTTTCCTAATG